GACAATGACTTGTTTATCTTGGCTTATGAAGAAATTGAAGGTAAACCCAGTAATGATTATAATTTTTGCAAGCAGCATTACATTTTAATAACAGTAAAAATAGAAGTAAACCATGTAAATAATGCAGATTGCTGACATGTAAAGGCTGGAATGAACATGTAAATAAAGTACAATATAAATGTGATTAATGCCTATTTATGTTTATTGTGTAATAGTGCGGTAGCGGCAGGGACCCCACATATTTTTAAGGGACCCACATATTTTATAAGGGGTGGGTCCCAGAGACTCCACATTATCAAACACTAATGCAACCCCTGAATAGTAGCAAAATATGTAATAGGAGATTCTCGGTAAATTAAAAACAACAACTACTGAACTGTTAAAAAATATCCCTGGCCATAGTGAACTCTGACTGTTTTGATGATTGTAAATTTTCATGGCAGCCTAGTGTGTTACCTTATTCAATATGGAGCTAGTCAGAAAGCAGTATTTTAGTTGTCATTGGTTACCGTGATACATGTAATTAGTCATGACATGACTTGTTGACAAAAATGGAAACGGTGTTACAGTTCGATGGCCTATACATGTACATGGTTTAATTAACATAAATATGAATTTTTTTTTTTTTTTTTTATATAGTATCGCTTTCATACAGACGGTAATGGACAAAGTCAGGTGACATACAGAGTTGTTCAGGTAGAAGGAGAAGGGAATGCTGGGAATTCTGTTGTCACCACAACTTCTTTTCCTCAGGGACAGCAAACAGTGACACAAGTTAATGAGGTAAATCCAGTATTTCACATTACTAGTTTAATGTCATGTCAAGATTACTGTCAAATCTAATAGAAGCCTCATTTAGTCTTTTTTAGAAAATGGAGAAACAAAAAATCCAAATTTCCCATATTGGTACATTTTGTAGATGCTCTAAGAGAAACTGCATCCCATCTGTTGCATTGTACCATTTCAATAGAAACCACGGTTTCTAATACTGATTTTACATTACTATGTATATGGTAAGCTTTTCACCACCAGACTTTCTCACCCAAAATTTTTCTGCAGTTTCTTATACAGTACAATGTGCACACAAGGTCTCAATTTTCTCGCCAGTGGCGAGACCATGGTGAGGCCATGTCTCGCCAATGGCGTACCAGTGGCGTACCAGTGGCGAGGCTGTTGAAAGGCTCGCTCTCAAAGAAGCGAGCCCAAGGTCGAGCTCGGCGCGATTAGTCAGATACGGCGCACCTTATTGTACTCGGCGCGATCACAGGCGCGACCGATGTTTTTAACATAGTTTCAGTTCTCTTACATTGTTGTTTATGAATGTAGATTAAATAACGGATAAATTGTGCAATGTGTTGCAAATAGCATGGCCAGTCGTAAATTAAACATTGAAATTTGTGCGTGTTTGTTGATTTGTGAGTTGGAAACGGTTACTGAAAAAGTTAACCGGGGATTGAATTGTTGTGTACCCTGTCCTGTTCTGCTTGTCTTGTCTTGCGTACAAGTAGTGTTGCAGTTGCTAAATTAAAACTCAATGGCATCCCGAGTCTGAGTCTTTTTACTCGCCTAAATTCCAACTATAACTCACGATAATTATACTCAAGGCATTTGAGACGTTTAAAGAGGTAAAATGCCACGACAAAGTAAAATTGATCATTTAAATTACGTGGTGGCATCACGTAGGCACGATGTACGTTTTCTTCAAAGTTCAGTCAGAGGTCAATGAAACCACTTGGTCGGCACCTAACGTCACAGAAATTATGCAAGACGTTTTCAAATTAAAAATCCCTGTCGAATTATTAAATGGTGTCTCGAAAAGGGATTTTTTATTTGACGCCTGCTTAGCACTAATTGTAACATCAGAAGGTCGCAATTGTTTATGTCGTTCGCTCGGGAGATGGAAAATAATGGCGCGTGTGTTACTCTTGCATTTATATGGTAGTATTACTACAATTGGCATACTTATTTTCAGCTTTCAATCTAAATGGACACAGAACACCCCAGTAACGTACTAGTACATGTATATATATTTTAGAGTCTGAAAAAATAAATAAATTACACAATTATTACTGTGCTAGGACGCTGTTTATTCACGCACGGTAACTAAAAAAGATTCACGCTTCCTATTAGTTCAGTGGATGCGTCTCGGCAGTTGTATCCATGCACCGCGTTTTAAAAAGTAACGTAATGAATCCAAACTAAAGGTCACATGTTGGAAAATAATAATAGTTTGCCTGAACCATGGAGGTACAGTACAGTTCTCGCGGAAGCTTTGGCTTCACTTCAGCGTCAGCTTCGCTTCAGCATCTCATCATTATGGCATTGTTATGGCTTCAGCATCGCTTCAATGTCGCGACATTAAAAAGTTAGGCGATTATCGCTTCGCTTCATTGTGGCCTCATTATGGCGACAATGTGGCATCAGCATCGCTTCATCAAACAAAGAAGTACTGTACTCATTTCCCCCAAACCTCTTGACCGCTTCCGCTTTTGACCGGTCAATTTCCGTTTTATTTTCGACCGTGCAAAAATTCGGACTACTAAAAATGTTCTGGTTTTCGTAGATCACGGTTACTAGTTTAGTAACCGTGCATAGATGTTGAACAACCGTCAAAAGTTTAAATACTTTTTGTTTTAACTATCTATAATTATATGCACGCAATCTGACCCTTTGACCTAGATTTGGCTGGGATTGAATATTTTATTTTAGACAACATTCCGACGTGACGCACTGCTACACTGGGTTTCTTTTCA